GGGAGCCATCCCTTGACCGCACCCGGGCATCGATCAGCCTCCCATTATATCTGTACCAAATGGAGATTCCCCCGGTACAGCTATTGAAGGCTTCACGAACTACGTGGTCAAAATAGATGTTACATAATGTGGAAGCCAGAGGATACCCCTGTCGCACCCCAAGGTGTACAGGGAATGGCTCTGACTCCCGGCCACGTAGTTTTACCCGGGCCCGCTCACCATCATGAAGGTCCTTAATGATCGTGAGCAGAGGGTCAGGGACTCGAAAAGCACGAAGAACAACCCAGAGCCCAGGCCTACTGATGGTATCATAGGCCTTGACCAGGTCAATAAAGCAGAGATGTAGGTCTTGTTGGAATTCCCTACACCTCTGCTGTAGCAGTCAGACAGAAAATATGGCATCTGTGCAGGACCGCCCTTTCCTGAAACCGCATTCGGGCTCCGCAAGCCTCTCCTCAGCGTGCCTGGCGAGGCGATGTTGAATAATCATTGCCAGGACCTTTCCCAGCACACTGAGGAGTGAGATGCCCCTGTAGTTGTTATAGTCTGTGCGGTCCCCCTTCTTAAAAAGGGGGACCACCAGGGCATCCTTCCAATCCTGCGGAACCCGTCCAGTGGTCCAGACTGTTGTTATGATGTCATATAGGGCAGTCTGTGCACAAACGTCACCCTCCCTCAGCATTTCGCTTGGGAGATCATCTCTGCCCGCTGACTTTCCTCGTCTTAGACTCCGGATCGCCTTCAGTGCTTCCTCAATAGATGGTACTTCAGCCAGCCACTCACAGGGGGTGACTTCTTCCAATATATGAGGCACCGCAGCCTCAGCAGGGTCATCCTCACTTTGTGCCACGATGTTTTCCTGGCTGAGAGATTTTCCCTCCCCCAGGACCTCACAGAAATGCTCAGCAAATCTGCAAACCTGTTCCTGGAGGTCGGAGATTGGATCACCGTTTTTTCTCCTAATGATGGTAATAGGTGTGGTGCTGCAGGTTACTTTTTTGATGGAGTTAAATAGAGATTTGTGATCGCGGGCCACTGAGGCCCCACTTGATCTCCTCAGGAACCTGCGACCACCACCCATCCTTGCAGTGCCTCACGGCTCTCCGAACCTCCGAGTGAAGGCTGCGGTAAGCCTCCTCATTCTCTGACGTGGGATTCTGTAGCCGATGACAGTGGGCCTGTCGCTTTTTCTCAACCATCCTGAACACCTCCTCTGTCAGCCAGGGTCTCTGGGGAGGTCTGGACCGCGTACCCAAAGCAGCCATTGCAGCTGCATGAGTCACAGTCCTAAACCTCGCCCATTTACCCTCGACATCAGGAGGAGTGGGGGACGATGCCAATCCCAACCGCAAGTGATGATGAAATTCTCGCTTGTAACTTTCATCAGATAACTGAGACCAGGCCACTTTAGGTTGGAATGGGGTCCTGGGTGTACACCCACCACCGGAGTGGAAGAATGGCAGGCGCATCTTACAGATGACTAGTCGATGGTCAGAGGGCAGATTAGCTCCACGGTAGGTCCTGGTGTCAAGGACATGAGCTCGCATCCGCTGGTCCATTACTATGTAGTCCAGCAGATGTTCTTGCTTGGACCCGGCATGCATCCATGATGTTTTGTGGATACGCCGATGCCGGAACAGCGTGTTGGTAATTACAAGCCCATGGGCTGCACAAAAATCTAGCAGCCTCCTACCGTTGTTATTGAGCTGATCTGGCCCATGCCCTCCAATCACTCCAGACCAGGTGCCAGCATCATGACCAACTCGGGCATTGAAGTCACCCAACATGATGACTCTATCCCGAGGTGCCACTTTAGCCAGCACCTGTGACAGGTCACAGAAGGCATCTGAGTCATCGGCTTTGCCTGCATCCCTCCACGGATGTTCGTCTTCGGTGGGGGCATAAGTAACCACGACCACCACTCCTCGCCTCCGGTTGATGGGAAGGCGAGCCCAAAGTAGCCTGGGGCTTACAGCTTCCCACACCTCACCGCCACGCTCCCACGCCCCCATTATTCTTTTGTTAAAAAGAAGAGCCACACCCTGTTGTTTGGCAGTCTGCTGCCCCGAGTAGAGGACTGTCCACCCCTCATGGTGGCAGGAGCCAGAACCGGTCCACCGGACCTCCTGAATGCCACAGAGATCCAGACGGTACCGGTCCAGCTCCCGACAGAGGAGTGGCAGCCTCTCCTCCACAGTGAGCGTTCGAACATTCCACGTGGCCATCCGTAGTGGCTTTTCGTTGTTTCTGGAGGAGCCCCGAGGGTAGAGATTCAATCTCCTGGCTCCGCCAATTGGGGTTTGGCCAGGAGACGTCATAGACGCCTGTCCCCACGGGGCCTCCGGCACAAGCTTATTAGTTACATATTTCAGTTTAACTCGTGGTTTAGTGGTAATTAATTGAAGGTGCAGGGATTACCAGCCCCTCGCACCCGTCCAGAGCCCCCCTTTAGCCACTGTGGTGGACACAGACGCCATGAGGGGAGGAACCAATCGGAATTGGCCCTCTCCCCACAGCACTGTCCACGTCCGGCACCGCGAGGAGGTAGGGGGTAACACACACAGACACGCAGAACACACACACAGAAACACACACACACAGACACACACAGAAACAAAGATAAAAAAGACAAAGATCCCCCGTATAGCCTTAACAGACTGTAGGGGCAAGTGCTGTTAACGAGCACCTATGAAGGCCGGAACGGTACACGAGGGGGTGGGTGGCCAGCACCACGCCCGACCGCCTTTGTCTCCCTAGTGGCGATATTTACACACCGCACCAGGTACTCATTTAAGGCTGAGTTGACCTAGGGGAGGCCCGGGACCGGTTCAGATAATCGTCACTGGTGTTGGCCGTGAGCGGGAATCGAACCCGGGTCGCCAGGTTCATAGCCCAGCGCGCTAACCGCTGCACACACACAGACACACACACAGAAACACACACACAGACACACACAGACACACACACAGAAACACACACAGACACACACAGACACACACACACAGAAACACACACACAAACACACACACAGACACACACACAGACACACACATACAGACACACACACACAGACACACACAGACACACACAGAAACACACACACAAACACACACACAGACACACACACAGGCACACACACACACATACAGAAACACACACACAGACACACACACAGAAACACACACACAGACACACACACAGACACACACAGAAACACACACACACGCACAGAAACACACACAAACACACACACAGACACACACACACAGAAACACACACACAGACACACACACAGAAACACACACACAAACACACACACAGACACACACAGGCACACACACACAGAAACACACACACAGACACACACACAGACACACACACAGAGAAACACACACCCAAACACACACACAGACACACACACTCTATAGAGGCTGCACGGGGAATAATTTTCTTTGCGTGCGTGCGCTGGGCAGCGATCATTGCCCGGTCACGGAGAACATCAGTGGCGAGTGGGGTCCGAACCTGATCTGGGACTCCCCTAGGGTAGACTCGACTGCTTGACTGCTTTGTCATACAAACAACGCCACACGCGCCAGTCCCGTGTGACCCATCGGCCACAATAGGTTGCTCGTTAAGGTAACCTGCACTCAGGCCTATCAGGCTAAATGCCCCGGAGAAATGTGTCTTCATTTGTGCGTGAGTGCGTGCGCATGCGCACTCACTGCAACACGTGTGTAACACAGCAATACGCAACACGTGTGTGTGTAACACAGCAACGCGTGTGTGTACCACTGCAACGCGTGTGTGTGTGTAACACACGCAACACGTGTGTGTGTGTAACAGCGCAACACGTGTGAGCGTGTGTAACACAGCAACGCGTGTGTGTACCACTGCAACGCGTGTGTGTGTGTAACACACGCAACACGTGTGTGTGTAACAGCGCAACACGTGTGAGCGTGTGTAACACAGCAACACGTGTGTGTGTGTAACACTGCAACACGTGTGTGTGTGTAACACTGCAACACGTGTGTGTGTGTAACACTGCAACACGTGTGTGTGTAACACTGCAACACGTGTGTGTGTGTATCACAGCACCACGTGTGTGTGTGTGTGTAGCACTGCAACACGTGTGCGTGTGTGTATCACAACACGTGTGTGTGTGTAACACTGCAACACGTGTGTGTAACACTGCAACACGTGTGTGTGTATCACAGCAACACGTGTGTGTAACACTGCAACATGTGAACGTGTGTGTGTGTAACACAGCAACACGTGTGTGTGTAACAAGCAACACGTGTGTGTGTAACACAGCAACACGTGTGTGTGTAACACAGCAACACGTGTGTGTGTAACAAGCAAGACGTGTGTGTGTAACACAGCAACACGTGTGTGTGTGTAACACAGCAACACTTGTGAGCGTGTGTAACACATCAACACGTGTGTGCGTGTGTGTAACACTGCAACACGTGTGTGTGTGTATAACACAGCAACACGTGTGCGCGTGTGTGTAACGCAGAAACACGTGTGCGCGTGTGTAACACAGCAAAACGTGTGCGCGTGTGTGTTACGCAGCGGTGGACAACGAGCTCCGGGCTTGGCTCACGCACAAAGACACACACAGTGACACTCACACATACTGACACACACAGAGGCACGATAATTCGATGATGAATCGATCTCTGAGCCGTGGTGCGACTGCGAGCTCCTCGGCAGATGCGGCGCGAAGCCTCCTCGCCCTTCCCGTCGACTCGCGTGCTCGCCTCTGGCTCCAGGTGACGCTCTGTCACATTTGGCTCCCTCCCCCGTGGAGCCGCCACTATCCCGCAGCCAGGGACAACACGACGCGTTCCATCTCCCCGTTCGGTCGCGCTCTCATCCATCACATCCGTCCATCCCCACCGCTATCTCTGCCTCGCGCGCGCTCTCCGTCCGTGCCTCTCTGCCTTACCCCCACCTCCCCCTCCATCGTCTCCCTCCCTCTCTCCCGTCTCCCTCCCGTCCCTACCCCAACATCCACGCGCCCGCTATTCTCAATCCCTGTCCGCCTCGCACGCCCACGCGTCGACGAGTCTTGCGGAGACGAAGGGGTGGAGAGGGAGGCGAGGCGAGGAGTCTGATCGCTGGGCAGGGGCGATGCCGGGTCTGCCGCACGCGGAAGAGGAGGAGAGGTGCAGCAAGGCCATTAGCATCATCTCCGAGCTGTGCATCAAAGAATTTGTCGTCAAGGACCGCTGCCTCGACTTCCTGTCGCTCCTGCCAGAACGCTCTCGGCAGAGCAACCACACCGGTAACAATAATAATAATAACAACCTCAGCGCCCATTCATTCATTTATTTCTTTCTTTCGTTCGTTCATTCATCCAGCAAGTATCCGTTGAGGACGGACGGCCCGGCAATGATCTGTGTATGTGTCTTGTCAGTCCACCGGTTTGGGGGGGGGGGGGGGGTCCGAGCAGTCGTGACTGACTCTGCGCTGCCGATGAGAGACTGGGTGTCAAAGCCGGTCCAGAGTTTTGACTCGTGCTGTTGAATGATTAACGCTGCTGAAATGATGTGCCCCCAGAGGAAGAGCGTCTGCTGGCTGGTGGGATGTGTCGAGAAGACTTTTGTTTTTAATATATATGTGTGTGTGTGGAGGGACAGAGATGGTTAGGATTCGTATTGCCCGGTGATGTATGATTGTATGTCTGTTGCATCCCTCCCCTACTCGCTCCCTGCCACATTCAGCTCTTCCACTGCCACTCCACCACACACGCACGCGTGAACACACGTCTGTCTGTGTGTCTGTGTCTATGTGTGTCTGTGTGTGTGTCTGTGTGTGTGCGTGTGTGTGTCTGTGTGTGTCTGTGTGTCTGTGTGTGTCTGTGTGTGTGTCTGTGTGTATGTGTGTCTGTGTGTGTGTCTGTGTGTGTGTGTGTCTGTGTGTGCGTCTGTGTCTATGTGTGTCTGTGTGTGTCTGTGTGTGTCTGTGTGTGTGTCTGTGTGTGTGTCTGTGTGTGTGTCTGTGTGTGTGTCTGTGTGTCTGTGTGTGTGTGTGTGTGTCTGTGCTCGTGCATGCGTACAGGTGCGCGCGCGCAAACACGCGTGCAACCGGCGCTCGTACACACGATTATGTATGTGCTATGAAGGAGGATCATTTTCCGAAACGTTGCCAGTTTAAATTTCGATTTAAAGCTTTCGTGACTGCAGGGATTCATCTTCTTGGTTCTTTCGGTAAAGTCAAGTAGAATGGAAATAAAATAATAAAAATAAAACATAATAAAATATAATTCTCACGACGTTTCGGCCACAACACAAGTAGCTTTTTTCAGGTGGAGAAACAGGACTGTCCAGAAGACAGCGTTTGAGGTTGCCAGTTTATTTAGAAAAAAAACACACACACGGTGTTATTCACGAAAGTGTTGATTGTGCTTGTGCACCACTGCTAACGCAACAGCAGAAGCATCACCAGATCCTGCGTTCATATACCCAGGCGATGCCGTATGTTCATAGACACGTACACGCACACAGGCACACACGCACATACACACGTGCATACAAAAGACAAAGATCCCCCGTATAGCCTTTCACAGACTCATTGGTGCTAGTGCTGTTCGCTAGCATCTATGAAGGCTTGGCACGGTACACGAGAGGGTGGGTGGCCAGTACCACACCCGGCCGCCTTTGTCTCCCCAGTGGCGATTTTTGCACATCGCACCAGGTACTCATTTGAGGCTGAGTCGACCTAGGGGAGGCCCACACACAAGACAAGGATCCCCCGTATAGCCTCAACAGACACCCCCCCCCCCCACCCTTTGATGATTATTGTAAACTGTACGGGCAAGTGATGTTAGCGAGCATCTGTTAAGGTGGTTAGAGTACGCAGGCGAGTAGGTGGCATGGCTGGCTGCTGATGTTTACACACAACACGCTCGGCACGTGCTCCAGGCAGAGTGTGCGTCAATCTCGCGGAGACCTAGGAGTGTTGCTGGTACTGCGTGTGCCAATGTTGTCCATCATGGGCAGGCATTAAACTGATGTCGCCTCAATTGGTAGGTGGAGTGCGTGAACGGTTGGAGTCACACATGCATACACAGGACACACAGAACACACACATCACACAGAACACACGCACACAACATACACAACAAACACACACAGAACACACACGCACATTACACACACAACACACATACAGTGAGGGAAAAAGTATTTGATCCCCTGCTGATTTTGTACGTTTGCCCACTGGCAAAGAAATGATCAGTCTATAATTTTAATGGTAGGTTTATTTTAACAGTGAGAGATAGAATAACAACAAAAAATCCGAAAACCGCATGTCAAAAATGTTATAAATTGATTTGCATTTTAATGAGGGAAATAAGTATTTGACCCCTCTGCAAAACATGACTTAGTACTTGGTGGCAAAACCCTTGTTGGCAATCACAGAGGTCAGACGTTTCTTGTAGTTGGCCACCAGGTTTGCACACATCTCAGGAAGGATTTTGTCCCACTCCTCTTTGCAGATCTTCTCTAAGTCATTAAGGTTTCAAGGCTGACGTTTGGCAACGCGAATCTTCAGCTCCCTCCGCATATTTTCTATGGGATTAAGGTCTGGAGACTGGCTAGGCCGCTCCAGGACCTTAATGTGCTTCTTCTTGAGCCACTCCTTTGTTGCCTTGGCCGTGTGTTTTGGGTCATTGTCATGCTGGAATACACATCCACGATCCATTTTCAATGCCCTGGCTCAGGGAAGGAGGTTGTCACACAATATATGACGGTACATGGCCCCGTCCATCGTCCCTTTGATGCGGTGAAGTTGTCCTGTCCCCTTAGCAGAAAAGCACCCCCAAAGCATAATGTTTACAGCTCCATGTTTGACGGTGGGATGGTGTTCTTGGGATCATAGGCAGCATTCCTCCTCCTCCAAACACGGCGAGTTGAGTTGATGCCAAAGAGTTCCATTTTGGTCTCATCTGACCACAACACTTTCACCCAGTTGTCCTCTGAATCATTCAGATGTTCATTGGCAAACTTCAGACGGGCATGTATATGTGCTTTCTTGAGCAGGGGGACCTTGCGGGTGCTACAGGATTTCAGTCCTTCATGGCGTAGTGTGTTACCAATTGTTTTCTTGGTGATTATGGTCCCAGCTGCCTTTAGATCATTGACAAGATCCTCCCGTGTAGTTCTGGGCTGATTCCTCACCGTTCTCATGATCATTGCAACTCCACGAGGTGAGATCTTGCATGGAGCCCCAAGCCGAGGGAGATTGACAGTTCTTTTGTGTTTCTTCCATTTGCGAATAATCGCACCAACTGTTGTCACCTTCTCACCAAGCTGCTTGGCAATGATCTTGTAGCCCATTCCAGCCTTGTGTAGGTCTGTAATCTTGTCCCTGACATCCTTGGAGAGCTCTTTGGTCTTGGCCATGGTGGAGAGTTTGGAATCTGATTGATTGATTGCTTCTGTGGACAGGTGTCTTTTATACAGGTAACAAGCTGAGATTAGGAGCACTCCCTTTAAGAGTGTGCTTCTACTCTCAGCTCGTTACCTGTATAAAAGACACCTGGGAGCCAGAAATCTTTCTTATTGAGAGGGGGTCAACTACTTATTTCCCTCATTAAAATGCAAATCAATTTATACCATTTTTGACATGCGTTTTTCTGAATTGTGTTGTTGTTATTCTTTCTCTCACTGTTCAAATAAATCTACCATTAAAATTATAGACTGATAATTTATTTGTCAGTGGGCAAACGTACAACATCAGCAGGGGATCAAATACTTTTTTTCCCTCACTGTAACACACAACACACAGAACACACACACCATATAGAACACACATCACACGCACATCACACACAGAACACACACACATACAGAACATACACACATCACACATACCACACACAGTACAGACACCCAATACACAGTACACACACACAATACAAATTACACACACAACAGACAATACACATTACATACACTACACACAATACACAGTAGACACACTACACCCAGTCCACACAATACACGTAGTACACACACACAACACACACACAGTACACACACACAATACACATAGTACACACACACTACACACACACAGTACACACACACAATACAGATAGAAGACGCCGATGAGAACCACGCGGTACGATGGTAGCATTCACATCCCCCCATACATAACACACACACACACTCACCAACTAAGGAAACATACACACACTCACACATATTCCCCCGTACACAACAAGCATGGATACTAAAAGCACACACTCCCATTAACCAACACATAACAACAGCAACACTTAATACACTCATGCTCACGAACACACACACAACACTCACATACACATTCTGCCTTACAGAAAACCAAACACACTCGTTCCACACACCACACACACAGAACACACACACCCCACACACACAGAGCACACACACACACCACACTCACACACCACACACACACACACCACACACGCACATCACACACAGAACACACACCACACACACACCACATACGCACATCACACACATAACACACATACACACCACACGCACACCACACACGCACATCACACACAGAACACACACACCACACACACGCACACCACACACAGAACACACACCACACACACCACACACACACCACACACGCACATCACACACAGAACACACACACACCACACACACACACCACACAGAACACACACACACACCACACGCACATCACACACAGAACACACACACACACACCACACACACACCACACACACACACCACACGCACATCACACACAGAACACACACACACACCACACACGCACATCACACACAGAACACACACACACCCCGCTGTCATTGCCTGTAATCATATAACAGTTCACCAGTATTGGTTCAAGCGAGTCTGACGCTGCTGATGAGACACTGAATGTCAAAACCGGTCCAGAGTTTTACCTGTGTTGAACCGACACTGCTGAATTTATGACTGATAAGATATATAAAACATTGTTATTTTACGTGCCAGGACATATACAGGAACGGGCATATCGTCTGATTATTTGCTGGGCAGTGGTGGCTATGCACGTCGCCTGTCATCAATACCGTGGATAAGAGCAATGTGTGGATTCCATCTGTTACAACAGTATGGGATATAGTAATGCCCCCTCGCACGCGTGCGTCTTCTCTGCGTGATCCAGTTTCCTCCCACGTATAAACACTCATCGATTGACTGATAACAACATCATAGCATACAGAGGGGACTGCAGAGCTTGGGCGATTGTTGGTAGCGCCGGCTCGTCACCACGTGG